GAAGTATGGGTCCTCCAACTATGTGGCTATTTTTCAAGATTTGTTCACTATTTTGGGTGCCTTGCATTTCTAAGTGCATTTTAGGATCAGATTTCCAATTTCTGTAAAAAAAAAAAAAAAAAAAAAAAAAAAAAAAAAAACCTGGTTGGGATCCCATATGTAATTAAAAAGTGATAGTTATTAATCTTAAAATAAACTTCCACCAGAATACTAAATCTCTTCCTTAAACTTTACATAGATTTATACTGAGTAAGAATGGCTTGGCAGTTATGAAAGAAATTGGATTTGGTGTAGGTGGCTGGGCAAATGCTTTCTGAGGTAGAGTACTAAAGTATGTAATTAACATTTTGACAGACAAAAGAGGAAGTTATTAAAATAGGTTAGTGTAGGAACAGTGCTTTAAAAAAAGAACCCAGCATGTGCGAGCATATGTAGGAATATTGGTGCTTACGGGAACTGAGTATTCACTACAATTGTACATTGGGATTGACGATGCAAAATGAGTCAAAAGAGGTAAATGATGTAAAGATTATGAATCATCAATTGCTGATGTCCATGTTTCACATCTAAAGACTTTAAATTCTGACTCACAAAAGTTAATCATACTATAGAATGTCTCCAAAACATGAATACATAAATGAATTATTAAATGCCCCTAAGCTGAATAGAGGTGATATCTGAAATACGGTTAGTAGAAAAACCATTAACTGGAAAACCAAACATGTAGTTTCAAAGCACTGCTAAAGAAGAAAATCATTATATCACTTAAACTAACAAGGAACATTTTCATCTGCAAGCTGTAATCGCGGTGGCAGGTGCCCCAATATAACCAGTAGACTGGATTGCTTACAACTAAAAAATACCCAGCACCCATCTATTAACTCTTTCACTTTACAGATTAAGGTGCTGACGTTCAGAGATATTTAGGGTCTCCAGGGGGCCTGAGGTCAGTCATTGCCACATTAAAAAAAATCATTTATTCATTTGTTTGTTAGACTAGTAGTCTGAGACATCAAAACGAGGGCAAGTAATTATAAATTGACAATATCTGCAACTGCAATATTCCGGGGAGCATGGGAGAAATGGCTTAATTCAAGTGGGAGTTAAGGAAGAAGAGTTTTGCTGAAGAGCGGCATTTGAGCTGAGACTTGGGAGGAAGCCACTGAGGTAAGTAAGCAAAGGAACAATGCTTCCAAGAACAGCGTGTGCCAGCACAGGGATGCGCACAAGTATCGCTATTCTCATGAAACTGTTAGGTATCCGTTGACGAGAGCTGTACGTTAGGCTTGATGGTGAAAAATGAACAATGAGACAATAATAAATTCTGAGTGTCATGCAAAGAATTACAATTTAATCCTTCGGAGTTCAATTGTAAATTTTCCACCCCAGGGACATAATCAGATTTGTTGGAAGGACTCCCCCGGTTAGTCGTGCGAAGGGTGGATCAGAGGGGAGTGAGACCAGGGACCAGAAAAGTGGGGAAAGGAGAGTGGGCAGCATAATGAGGGCGAGCCATGTGGCTCTAAGTCAAAGCTGCAGCTGCAGACACGGAAAGGTAGACACCAACACAAGAGAGACTTTTGAAAAGGTAAAAAGCCAACGGGACTTGTTGACTGACTACATATGAAGCATGAAGGAAAAACAAGATGTCAGGCAAGTGGTCGATTATATTTTCAATTTTCTACTCCTTCTTATGCATGTAAAGGATTGTGATTATTTATAACTTTTAAATGTATTTATAATATATAGTTAAAATACATTAAAAACTCAGCATCTTTTTTTGGCGGTAAGCGCGTCGCATTATATTAAATATATGATGTTGAGGGAGACTTGTATTTTCTGCCTTTCCTTGAGTCCAGTCACAAGCTTAAGTAAATGCACCTCAAGAGAGGGATGCGCTGAGAATAACGAAATGAAGCCAGGGTGTTTTCACAGTGTAAATTCTCATTACTTTCTCATTTGTTCCTTCCCACAGTGCATACACTTATTGCTAGAAAAGAAAGGGAATGAAATACAGAAATGAAAAATGTAGACATGAAAGCCTGCCTTGTGCCAATTAGGGATTGCTCTTTTATTTTAATAAAATCACAAGGTAGCAAAACAGTTCCTCTCAAGGGGCAAAGCACTAATCCAATATATCACATGTAAAACACTTGTGGTCAATACAGACAATGGGGCGCCTGGGTGGCGCAGTCGGTTGGGCGTCCGACTTCAGCCAGGTCACGATCTCGCGGTCCGTGAGTTCGAGCCCCGCGTCAGGCTCTGGGCTGATGGCTCAGAGCCTGGAGCCTGTTTCCGATTCTGTGTCTCCCTCTCTCTCTGCCCCTCCCCCGTTCATGCTCTGTCTCTCTCTGTCCCAAAAAAAATAAATAAACGTTGAAAAAAAAAAATTAAAAAAAAAAATACAGACAAGATTTTTCTGGAAATCCGAAAAATTATGGTCACCGGTGCCATTGATGGGTTATTTTTGTTTGTTTGCTTGTTTTTGGTCCAATGCACAAAAAGGTCTATGAGTGAGTAAGCATAAAGCAGTTGGCTTTTCCCACTCACTGGCGACAGCATGTGGGACTACCTTCATAGAGTAATTTCTTCTGGCTTTCACCATTTTGTAAGTAAACAAAAAAGAAACATTCAAAAATAAGAGGGAAAGAAGGCGCTCCATTCAATGGTGGGAAGCGCTGGATCACAGACAGTTACACAGGCCATTTACTGTCAGATTTAGTTGAGTCTCTGCTATGCTAATGCCGGTTTGCAAATTGCCAAGAGGGAGACACAGGGCACTGCATATTCCGTGAAGCACAGTGAACTACGTCTAGCAGGCCTCCGCAGGGCTGGGACCAAACCACGAGGAGGTAAATCAATAAGGCAGCATTTGTATGGTCCTGTATTTGTTCTCCAAGTGGTCGGGCGCAGGGTAGGACTGCTGGATGGAAAAGTACCAAGAAAGGGTACCGCCCAGGCCTACGGGAGCAGTCTGAAGACAGCATGGCCCTGGGCCCTACCTAGCCTTCTGGGGCGGGTGGAAAGGCAGAGATAAGACACAAGCCCTGAATAGAAATCTGCACCTGAAGGTGAGGACCCACACCTGGAAGTGTGCTATACAAGGTATGTTTAGTCTGTATGCCAAATCAATTTATGCTGCCCCCCCCACCCCCACCCCGCCCACCCTGCCGGCCAACTCAATAGCTGCCATTGAAAATGAAGACAATGTAAAGTTACAAGATTTTTTCTTTTTCAGTTTCACACTGCCGTATGATCAATCACTAACCATTTCACAAATCACATACAACTTTCAAGTCAGGTGCAATTTAATATACCAGAAATCAGTATCAAGACCAGGGAGAAAAAGAAATGAGCTCCAAAATATTGGCGACAAGAGACAGGGAATCCTCAACACTTTTCTACCTGTCTTTTTTGAATTGACACAGGCTTTTGCATAACGGAAACCACGGTAACACAAAACTTGATCTTCACTCTCCTGGCGTCGAGACAAATCTTGCGTGCGCGTGCACACACACACACACACACACACACACACACACCGTTTATCTCCAAAATAGCCACATTTTTTTTTATTTGGTGATCCAATACGTTTTTAATTCAAATAGTCACCACATAACCTAGGCACAATATTAAGCATTGTACAAGCAAAGTAATTTACTGATTTTCATTTCAATTGCCAAAGAGTACAATAAGTGAATTGGTTACGGGATATACTTCTGTACATAAAAATATCCATGTATTTATACAAGGGTATGGAACAGAGTTTAAAGATAATAAAACCAGAACATCACAATAAATAGGATGTGTTCCTACAGGATAGCAGAGTGCGCTTTGTCAGTAAGCTGTCCAGTCTTTCTTCAAGGTGCTTTATATTCTTCTGAGCTAGGCTCACATTAACCAAAAGAAGGGTTAGGGGTTAGTAGTTGATTCTGAATCTGAATGCCTAACTTTCATAGGTTGCTTTTTATTTGCATTTCCAATAATAGGGGTAGAAGATATGATCATTTATTTTCCAAAAGTCTTTGCAACTTATCAAATCCTATTGATTTCCCACTTCAATATTTTAAAACGCAGATCAATCTAAGCTCTAGCACCGTATGACCATGAGATATATGTATTTCTGTCAGAGCAACAATATTTTATATCATCTTTGTTCCTCTGGCTATAACAATTCTGTTTAGAAAAATTTTACCAAGCTAAAAAATAGTTGATCTAGGTTGTCATAAAAAAGAATATTAAATACCTTTGGTAAAAATAGATATATTTAACAAGATTAGAAAAGCAAACAGTTATAGTGTCAAAAGGAGAATATAAAAATGTACACGATAAAACAAATAAACCGACTTGTAGATAAAGTGAAGATAAGGCCACTCTTCAGGTTTGTCTCTTCCAGAGTTCTCTTCTAAATGGTGGAAACTTTAGTAAGAAATATGGAAAATCCAGTCTTTCCTGTCAGCATGACACGAGTTTGATTTATCGTAACACCCTTCCTTTTTAAAAACCAAGGTTGTAGGACATAGATCACTCTGGTTTATATATCTGAATGTAAGGAAACAATTCCAGATTTCTGTGATTTTAGGCCCAGAACATGGAGCTTTAGAGTTAAGCAAGGCAACAGAATCAGGTGCTCATCGCACAGTTTTTTCCCCGTACTGACATTAGCCTAAGCCGCATGGAGACAGCTGAAATACGGAACACAGCTAGCTGAGTAAGCACAAGGCAACTCTGTCACTAGCTAGTGATGCACAACATTCATTTTTTTTTTCCAGGACCAAAGACCTTTTCTCCTGTTATTCAGGCCTCTCCTCTCAAAAGAGCCGTTGCACAACTTCTAATTCCGTGTGGTGTCTCCTCTTTTAGAATACACTGTAAATCCTGAAGATGAAAGGTCCCTGAAGCAAACAACTGAGATTATGGATGGAGATAATGCGCAAGTTCTCTAACAGATCAGCCACTGAGCTGTACTGCTCTGGGAGAGGCTGTGCGTGCTGATGCGGTTATCCTCCTGTGTGCCCTCTGCACACACAGTCACACTCCTCGTGGTGCTCCAGGGCCACGTCCGTGAGAGATTTATGCAATCCCCTGACACCACTCTTTGGTCTCAACTGAAGGACCTGAAAGGGAACAATGTAAGCCATCTTTAAAATCAACCAATGTCTGTAACGTTTGATTTCATGGACAAGTAAAATTTCAGAAAAGAATCTCGGGGCCCAACAAAGACTTACAAATTTTTATTTTTTTTCTGACGAAGGCATCGTGAACACCTACCCCCACCCTTCAAAGAAATCACAAACGATCATCAACTTTTCGCGAAAGAAAGGATGTTTTAATAGCAGCCACTTGGAAGGATGCCGCCTCCGAATACGGAACGGTCCTGACATCGAAAGACCTACTGTGCACTCCGTTTCACTCCTCTGACAATATTACAGAGAATTTCGCCTTGATTAAGTAGTTTGAAACCACTACTGCCCAGCCGTCTTTCTGTTTGTTGGTTTCTTTCACTCATTCATTTTTTTCACACATTTAACAAAAATTTATACTTGAAGCAATACAAGTACTGCGATCCTGTGAAAGGAAACACGATCACTCTACAGCTGAGTCTGCTCAATTATGCCACTCATTAATTTTCTTGGCTTCGCTTCAAGTCCTCTATAAACTTGATGAGATGGATTAGATGTACTTCATAGACATCAGCCTCCGTCACAGTTAACTTTCCGCAGCTGGACCCACTGTGCAGTAAACGGAGGCTTGGGGATAATAACAATGATGCCTCTATTAAATGAACTTAATGTGCAGTTTGGCCTTTTAATAAAAAATATAGCAAGACAGACACTGATACTCAAGATATTTCCTTTTAACACTGCGACAGGAAGGCACAGCTATGTGTTCTGTAAAAGATTATCTGAAGTATTTGATAAGAACTACCTACTCGGTGTGTATTTTCATTTCTTATAATAGAAACAATAAAGTTTCGAGGAATTGTGTTTGTTTGGATTATGAACAAAGACCAGGGGACATAATAATATGGAGTTGTCTAGTTTCTCTGTTCTCTGGGTAGGACAGCGATAACTTCATAGAGCAACTTCTAAAAGATACTCTTCCGGGAAATGTACGTTAATCCAAAGAGGCACAAGTCGAGTCTCATGACCGTTTTATTTGAAGATTTAAAAGAGAAAAGTAGAGAATGTATACCTCATTTGGAGTATGTGGTCATATCAAAGGTTAATCAGCTAACATTTTTTGAATGCTTACTGGGTGCCAGGCACTGTAATAATGTTTTTACATACTTTAACTCACAAGAATTCTATGAAGTAATTTACAATTACTACCCTTATTTTACACATGAGTGACCAGAAGCGTTAGAGAGAACAGGGACATAACCAGTATTTGTACTTTGGCCAAAGATGAATTATTAAAGTCAGGCTGATAGATAATAATTTTATAAAGACTTAGAATATATTGTTAGTCATACATTCTACTGATTTAGTAACGTTCTTCCCAGAGAGCTAAACAGCAAAGTCTTGTAATAACTATGAGAAATAGGGAACTTTTAAAGCAGACTTTTCTATTGAATTCACAATTCCAAAATAAAATTACCAAGACTACATGATTTTAACATGAAGCTTAACCCAATGACCGTCAAATATATGTGTCAATACTGAGTTACTGTTTTTGAACTTAAAGTGGCATCAAAACTGTTAAGACACTGGTGCTGTAACTTACCCAACTTTTGTTAAAAATTCCTTCTGGAATGAGGTTGAGTGGGTAGATAAACTGCAATATTGGCATAGCCAATGTCTTTAATTCCTAACTCCACTTGTATACATTTTCCCAGTTAGCAGGGGGAAAAAATTACTATAAAAGGTAAGAGTTAGAGAAGCTACCATATACAGCCGTAACAGGCAGCCATGCCAGGCTACAATCTTACAATCGTTCTTTCCTCCAGGAGTGCTTATGTCGACGTGCAGTCACCGAATAATAGCACCTCCCCACCCCCCTCTTCATCTACTGATATTTATGGAGATTTACAAATAGCAGAAGAATCGTATAATGTGGTAGTGATGCAAAGTCTTAGATAAGAAATTAAAAATACATGGGAGGGGACTTAATTAGTGCTCTCCTTCATTTCTTTATGAAGTTTTGACTTTGGAGGAGAACGATACGTTGGAAAATGACCAACAGGTCCCAGATAATATTAAAGAAGACAGCAAGACAGAAGCATGTCTCAAACAATTTTGAGAGAGAGGTTCGAACTAAAACTACAAACCAACCGAAAAAAAAAAAAATCCAGGGAAAAACTAAAATCAGAGAATATGGAAGTGATTAGATCAGGTACAAAAAGAACCATCAGGAAATAGATGATCATGTACCACTGCCCACACTGTGCAAACAAAGTGCTGTTAAATTTTGGGTGCCATGGAACAATGGGGGCTGGTATTCACTACAAAAAAAAAAGGCAGTTGAATTATATACTTTTTATCCAGAACAGATCTATGCAAGAAAAGCAAGACCATACCAAATAAATAAATAAATAAATAAATAAATAAATAAATAAAATATCCCATAGATCTTTTTGCCTGGAAAAGAATACTCTACCTATCTTGGGGCAAAATTCATTAATTTTTTATTGATCATTTGCCATAAGCAAAGAATAAGGCGAAGCAGAGAGGGTGGGGAATAAAGATGAATGGGAGAATAGCTAATATATATTCAGGGAATGAAATATGCCAGACCCGGTTCTAAGTGTTGTGTCAGCTCCTTTAGTCCTCACAGTAAGGTATGAGCATTAGATGTTCACTTCACACATGAGGAACCTGAGGTGCAAGAGAGGAGAAGCAATTTGCCCCAAGTCACACAGCTAACAAATGTCAGCTTCAAGCCTTGGCTTCACAGATGGTTTTCTTCAATACTGCAATGTAATGTTATCTTTGTTCTTTTTGGTTCTCAATTCAGTAAAAACAAATAAAAATAAACAATAATTCTGAATGACGTAGCAAAAAAAATCTCTAATAAACAGGTCTTTAAAGTTCTACATATGCACAGAAGATGGGCTAGTTATGCTAGGACCGGCAGGAAACTAGGATGTATTTTGAGGAGGACGTAACATCTGAGCTCATATATATGTAAAGTTCCTGTCTTGCTTTCTGAAAAATCCTTTTGTGAGATAGAAAAATCTTTAAGGAATTTTGAGGGAGGCAAAACTGGCTTCCAATAAATAGTATCTGGTACTTGATGTAAAAAGTAGTTAAGAATCTTTTTAATAAGAAGATTATGCTGTAATATTGGGGCGCCTGGGTGGCTCAGTCCATCGGGTGTCAGACTTTGGCTCAGGTCACGATCTCATGGTTCACGAGTTCGAGCCCCGCGTTGGGCTCTGTGCTGACAGCTCGGAGCCTGGAGCCTGCTTCAGATTCTGTGTATCCCTCTCTCTGCCTCTCCCCTGCTTGCACTCTGCCTCTCTCTCTCTCTCAAAAATAAATAAACATTAAAACAATTAAAAATTATGCTATGTAACAATACTATCATCTTATGTATTACAAGCCTTTTGATTTTCTAAACTTATTTTTGAAACAATGGTTGAACAAAAACCACTGAAAGTGGTAAAGGAACCCAAATGGAGAATAATTGTTATATTTGTAGTAACACAAGGAACATAATTCAGCTTATTAGTTAAGGAAACTGGTATAACAGAGGTGAAAGCGAGAAGAATTAGGGTATCTAAGCTCTGTCTTTGCTTCTGTCTTCTCCATGAGGTGGAACAGTCTTCAAACTGAAAACTGGAACAATAGGAATAAGAAAGGAATCATCAAAAGGAATTAAGGCCCAAGATGGGCTTCACTGCAAATGAATTAAGTCTTTGGATCCAGATTAATGATATTCAATGATTTAATGATTTTTAGCACTATTTGAAATTCTGTTCAAAAATAATTTCACTTCTCTAGGAGTAGTACTAAGCTCAGAACTTACTTCCAAAATATACGACTGAGAAAAATTTAGGTCTCAGAAATGATCAATTACACCAAACAAATAACCCCCCCTTTTCTTTTAATAAGGTGTTTTGTTAACAAAAACACCATCACAGAAAAAATCAACGATCCCCACAAAGCATTATAAAAAATTAAGACATGATGGTTACTGGAGATACTTGTGAGAAATGTGAAGTAGGCAACAATACAGTTATATATATCCACATGTGCGTTAGAGATGCTTTGTGGGAAGCTTGTAAGAGGTAATCATGGAATTAGATAAACATCCATAGCTGTATATGTGTACACACAGATAATGCACATATAACCACCCCACCCAAAGACTAAAGAATAATGGAGTGATGTCATTCTGGAAGGCCAGTAAGTTTACAAGTACTTCCCATAGTCTCTTCTCACACAAGAGTTTTATCTGAGATTATAAAATAGATACCTCATACTCTGTGGCAAATTTTTTTTCAATGTTTATTTATCTTTGAGAGAAAGAGAGAGAGCGCGGGTGGGGGAGGGGCAAAGAGAGAGGGGGGCAGGGGATCTGAAGCGGGCTCTGTGCTGTAAGCAGAGAGCCCAGTGTGGGGACCGAACTCACAAACTTGAGACCAAGACCTGAGCTGAAGTCAGAAGCTTAACCAACTGAGCCACCCAGGTGACCCCTGGGGCAACTTATCTTAATAACCCTAAAACCGATGTGATTTGAAAAGAAATTTATAAGTATAGGATGGAGGAGGATATGCTTGACCCAAGGACTGATTTAACGAAAGAGAGCATGATGTGGACTCAGCATCCAATAAACTTGTTTAAAACAGGCTAATACGACTGGTCAGGGTTGTATAGCTCTTAGAATGGTGGCTATAAACCCAAAAGTTGTTGGCTAAATCAGGTCTGCAAATATATCGTATTTAATAAGGACTGGCTTTAGAAAGCCCCAAACTGAATGATTTTAGGTGAGAAAAGATCACTCTGGCTTAATTCCTATTCTCATCACATCCTTTCATGGTCACCGATCAATGCTGATGCCTGCCTTGCTTGTAAGGCGGTTTATTTAATCTGTTTAGAACGACTGTATTAAGGGTTTTTTTCTGGACTCCCAGATTCCCAGTTCACAGAGGAGCAATAAGGCCGACCTCTGGGCACAGCCTGGCTGGAGCTCTCTGAGCCACCAAGCTCATGATTAGCTCCTTCTGAAACTAGAGTGGAGACGATTCCCAGCACAAGAATCTTGAGAAGCATGGGATGTAGAAACGAAAGTAGCACATGACTGATGGTGGTAAAGAGTCCATTTTTATCACAGACTGCCAGTTTGGGACATTACTTTCCACAGACTGCAATCTAGTAATTGTCATGGAATAACACAGCTGGGAAAAACCTGAGAGGTTATTCTATTTTACATTTACTTTACAGGGGTAAGTGCCCTGCTGATGGTCACAAGTTAACGGTAGATCTAGGATGAAAACAGTGTTCCTTATCTATTGGAATCCAATGCTTTTGTCCCACTTTATCAGCTGCCAACACAATACTGCTGAAGGGTAGGACAGCCATGTCATATAAAGTGCAGTTTACGACGCTGGGTATATTCAGAGGACTAACAGATAAAGAATTTTATTAATGTCCTTATGCACATGAAAAATTATTTCATTTAGTTAGTAGGTATTTATTTTGTGTTGTTCTTTTATTTAGTGTAAAAAATGAAACGTAATGAGATGCAACGATACAGAAATGAAGTCAGAAGGGCAGATTTTGACTTGATATAATTTAAATGTTTTATAGGATTAAAGCTGACTCATCAAGAGTGTTTTGCTTTCTGGTATAGGAATGCTACATAACGCTCCTGGAGAAAGGCTGGGCATAACTGGGGATATTCTAGCAATAACAACAATTTGGAGTGTGTAAGTTCTAAGGTTCCCAAAGGTCTGAAGAACAATCATTAGTAACATTTAATATTTATATTTTCCTTAATTCCACAGAATAAAAAGATGAAAGGAATCCATAAAGGGTTTAACATGCTTTTCGGGGCAACATGAATAATAGGAAGATTGGTAAAATTACGAACATATCTACTTGGGATTTATGTGCCCATGTTGCCTCAAATGGAAAAAGAAATATCAAAGATCTCCTTTCTCCAACATAGACAATAATTTCTTTAAGTCTGTCTTTAAAATATTTTCCCTTAGGGGCGCCTGGGGGCTCAGTCAGTTAAGGGTCCGACTTCGGCTCAGGTCATGATCTCGCGGTTCATGAGTTCCAGCCCCGCATCAGGCTCTGTGCTGACAGCTCAGAGCCTGGAGCCTGTTTCAGATTCTATGTCTCCCTCTCTCTGCCACTCCCTGGCTCCCACTGTCTCTCAAAAACAAATGAACATTAAAAAACAAACAAAAAAAATATTAAAATATTTTCCCTTTGTATTTGGGAAAGTTTAAAGTTGAAAAGTTTCACCCATTTTCTCCGCTGCAGAACGCATTTTCGTTTTTGTAGGACAGATGAAACCCTCACTGACCGCCCATGTTGTATTGTCAGAGGACAAACTTTCTACAGCTTTAACGCCTGGACGTTTGAGTTAAAGGTCCTAATTTTAAAAAATGAAAACATGAACTAGTTTGTGAACCTTATTTCTCCCCCCCCCCCCGCCCCACGGATGCTGTGTCTCCTTTCCGAATAACAGTCCATTGCAGATACACAGTTTTGTTATCTTCTGAGATGTGGAGGAACCCGAAAAGAAAATGACACACCTACCTCATGGTATTTTTTGGTGACTTTACTGGGGACGCACTGACACTCATTGCAGTTGTGGAGACAGCAGGCACAGTTTCCACCACAGCGTTTAACCAGGAGACAACCTGGCCAGAAAATGGTATCGGTTCTCTTTAGTTCTTCCCTTATGGACACCGAGAAGTTACGAGGTGTGCAGCTGTATAGTCTTACCTCCTCTTTTAGAAGGTTCAGATCCACCACTACATGGCATAAAGGGAAGCAAAGAAAAATACATGTTCATGCCTTGAGCCTGAATTCATCTCATCAGACTCTTTTCACAGAGAAACCGATCTTGTTTCACAAACAATACGGCCAACAATATCCCTTCTTATTTTAACTAGGTTTTAGGGCTATTGCAGCTCGCCGGTGGGACTTTCATTTTATAGTAAACAAAGCTTCATTATGACTGACCGACCAATAAAGAGATACCATTGTGCAATATTAAGACCAGAGCCAACAAAACAGTTGAGAGCTATAAATAGGAAACTTTATAGAGAAAAAGAGGGCTACACCTTTTAACCCTCGTAAAACAGTAAACAAGGAGAGCACTGGAGGAAATAATAGAATGTAAAATGATGAATGCTTTGATTAAAAAACAAATGGAATTTTTAAAAGGATTAGAAGCTCATGCAATTAATGAAGAACAACTTACAGAAACTTGCAGACAGAACTTTACATAACTTTTTTTGGCAATAAGACCCAGAAAATGTAAAAAAGGCATGAAGAGAATGAAGTTTTGAGGACAACGGAGTAGGTCATGAGTGAAAAAAAAAAAAAATGATACATTTTAAAAGGGCTGAGGTTGCTGAAAACCTCTGCTTCCGATGCATGGAGTAATTCATAAAGTCTGAAATTCAGCTTAAGGAGACTCCTTCAGAATTCTATTCTTCTCCTTCTAAAGGAGGGAAGAAGTGTCTAATTTGTAACAATTGTCTCTATTCTTTTGGTAAGTTGGTTAACTATATAGTGTTTTATCCTTCAAAAGAATACCTACTTGTGAAGACCAAACAAAATATTCTTTCATTAGATTGTTGGAGTAAATTCTGAAAGCATCATTGTTTTTAACTAGAAAATGATACTTGCCTCAGTTAAATGATAGCAAAATAGCATGTCATACTTAATATGAATTTATATATAACATGAATAGTACTTAACCGTTAGCATAAGCAACTTTATAATTTTAATGTCTGCCTTATGACTTTGCCTTTTTCCCTCCCTAGAAAGAGTCAAATAATAGCAGTTCCAATAAAATTGAAGAGTTTTGGATAACACACAATTCATCAGAAATTTTTCTTCAAAAATAAAGATTTTATTAAAGTTTGGAATATTACCTAAATATAATAAATCCAGTTAAATACCTTTTACTAACATTATAAAGAAGAATTGAAAAAAAAAAGAAATACATTTTCTCGTTAAAGATGGCTTCAAGTAATAATAATCACTATGTACTCAAGTTTTAAAGAATTAAGTGCCAAAAAAAAAACTGAAAAAAAATATTGGGGGTGCCTGGGTGGCTCAGTTGGTTAAGTGTCTGACTTCAGCTCAGGTCATGATCTCATGGTTCATGGGTTCAAGCCCTGCATCAAGCTCTGTGCTAAACGCTTGCTCAGAGCCGAGAGCCTGCTGCAGATTCTGTCTCCTTTGCTCTCTGCCCCTCCCCTGCTTGCACTCTGTCTCACATTGTCTTTCAAAAACGAATAAATGTAAAAAAAAAAAAAAAAAATTAAGTGCCAGTATTTTAAAATAATTTTCAAATGACAAGGTGATTAAGAATCAAGTGCTTGTTTTCTTGTTGCCTGTTTTACAATTCTGTATTTACTTGTACACATGATAAAATTTTCCTAAAATGTCAAAGGAAGCCAATGGAAGTATTTTCAATAAACATATTGTAAATCATGCATATGCAATTGTAAATTATAAGCACATGTAAACTATATGGTTGATTAAAACCTTGGTCAAGTATAAGGAAACGTCAAGGAAATACCAGTTCAAAAGGTTCATTTCAATATCCTATTTAGCTAAACAATTATTTTTTCCAACTCAATAGAAAACCGTTGTTTTGAGTATTTAAAGATTTCCCTTTCAACTGAAAATTGATCATGTGCAGGAAAGCTTTTAAATATTTAAGAGGAAATGAGTTCATTCTTTTGAGTATCATAAAAGACCAACTTATCTCTAATAAAAGTAATGAGATAATTGAGTTAAATCATGTCACACATTTCACCCGATTTCATTTCACTGAACTAACAGTTATTTGTACATTGTGAATCTTTCATTGTGAAAGCTGTATATGAGTTTATCTGAATCTTTTCTCTAGAAGTTAGTATCTGGGCAAGAAGGGTTTAGAAAGTCTAAAACATGCACAAACATACAAAAGCCGGTTGCCAACACTTTGAACGCTGATTTAAGATTTATACCTCTTTAGAATGTGAATGAAGCTCTTAGCCTTCAAAGGCTATTCATCTACCTCAGTGTTAAACACACTATTTCATGCAACTAGAAAATGAGACTGTATATGTTCACTTTAAAATGTTTACTTAACCACAATAAAAGGTTAGATAGATTTCCCAAGTGAACTGAGTTATGATACCTGCTGCAATGTGAAAATTTAAACACCCTTGCAACTTGGCTTCCACTCATTTATCATGTTTGACACAAAAGTCAAAGCCCTTTTTAAGTAAGCCTGACTTAGAAAATAAGGTATTTTCTTTTTCCGCAGTAGCAATGTATGAATGAAAACCTTAAGCCAGAGGAAGAAAAGGGGAAAAAAAATGAAAAACATTAATGCAGTCCACACCGGGCTAAAAAATACAATTAAGGATTTTCAATGTGGCATATCTTATTTGAAATTTAAGCTTCCCACTTGTAAGGCTTCAAGCTCATCTAAGCTTCATTAAAATAAGTCATGTGACTATAATTTAATGTCATGAATTCTCCATAAATTCTCCAAACATTGTGAAGAACTTCTATGCCAAAAAAAAAAAAAAAAAAAAAAAAAAAAAAGAACAAAAAAGAGAAAGATCATGTCCAACACATACCTTTTTTTTTAATAGCTTAGCTATAATATTATGGAAGTTTCCCTCTGCAAAATATTTGAAAAATCAAAATCGGTGTTCGGGTTCTTTATATCCTTTTCATAACTACTCCCTAAGACAATACATGCATTAGTTTGTCTTTCTAAAGAATGAAGATTTTGAGCATAGCGCCAATTAAAGTTGTTTTTCCTAATGCAAATTTTCTTGTTCAGATTCACCCATACTGCAAGTTTTACTAAAAAGGTAATACCCCCGGAAAACAAATCATGGTTACACTTCACTTTGTTCCTTGTTCATTCTTTTAAGATATTCAGCCCAAGGATATTCTATTACTGCAATGCAATCTGAGGGTGGTCTTTCTAAGATGAATGTGGTAATACTGTGATATGTTTATTCTGTGGAAAATCAATTTTGATGTCTAATTAGAAGCTTTTAAACATTTTACTCCTTGTTCCTTTGTAGAAAGACCCTTGGGAGGGGAGTTGGTTTTGTCTATATAGATGTTATCCCACACCTGCATTTTAGTTTACGTAGAGTTCCAAAAATATACACTGCTTTTCTCACACTTACTGTATGCTTAAAAAGTTAATAGTTTTGGCAAACTGCACAGGACATCAATTTGGAAAGTGCTAAATGAATATTTGAAAGAGCTGGTTCAGCGCTGGATGCTTTTAAATACATGCTAGCCTCTGGCCAAATCTTCACTGAAGCACCAGGTGGAGAGGTGCAGGCTTAAAGGCATGGCTAGAGGGGAGATTTTTAGGCTGGAATCCTGAGATCAGCTGTCAAAAACAAGATCTGAGCTTAGAACCTGGTTTACTCCCTTTGCTTCTTCCAGATCAACATGATAATCTACTTCAAATTTAACAAAGGCTCTATTCACAAGTGTTTCAGCCAGCCTTGCAGATCTTCATTTTCCTGTTCCTAAGTGGGAGGGAAGGGAAGTGTTCGTAAGTTATTCATCAAGTTATTCATCAAGATCCAATCTTATAAATATGTAACAGCTTTCAGCATCTGGACAGGATTCCGCTGCCCATGTACTTTAACACCAATTTCAAATATTGCTGAAAGGAAACCACGTCTGTTGGCATAGCAAAATATCATGGTTGGGCAAGTCTGAACATGACCTGCTGAGATTAAAGCTCTTGATCCAGAAGGGCTGCAACTCTTAGCAGGAAAGGGCAGGAATCGGGTTTCTTTCTGACAAGATTTAGAAGAACAAGTCTGGTGCAATCTGCCCTTGTGAATTGCTCAAACCAACTAAACCTTGTTCCTTCTATATAAATTCTCCAAACTGTCTTTCCATTCTCTAGAGTGATCCTGGATAGATTTCAATGTTTCTTTCTGAGAACCTGAAAGAGATTTTTTTTTTTTTTGAGGGCATTATAATTCGCCAGTTATTTCTGTTGTGGGTTCATGTGTGTCTGATATGGATACTTCCCAATCCTGACGTCACTAGGAAAATGAACTAACCTTAGAGAAGACTCAATTAACATTATTCCCAATTTCTTGACCATGTGGAATTAAGTTTAATCATCAACACTTTCACTCTTGAAGGGAGATAGGCTCATACAGTCAAGTGATCATTTCAGAGGCAGACTTCCAGAGAGAAAAATTATCATGGTGGGAATTTCTTTAGGTCATTCTTTTCTTGCTCTGAATTCTATCTTGGAAACTACTAGTCCCATTTTATGGTGAGCCACTGTTATTTTCTGTATTATTTATAGAAGTTTTCAGGCTTAAGAGATGGACATTAATATAATCCTGACCCATGAGGAGATGGTAGATAACGATTTTGGTTTTTCCCCCTTTTCTAGGCCCAAACCTGGTTTAGCAGCTAAGGTAGTCTTTCTTGAGTCTCTAAATCAATATACCCTCCAAATTAGATTTGAATAAGCAAAAATTCTCATGAAATATAAAAGAGGACTTCATCAAAATGATATTTTTGAATTAAAGAAATGACAACAATTATTCAGCAAAACTGTCCTTTTTAATTTTCCAAACCCACTGAATTACAATTACTTCTCTTTGTATGCACTCTCATTTACTATGTAAATATGCTCAAATGTTACAAAAATGGGTTAAATACATCACTGAAGAATTTTAAACTCTACTCATTGGAAGCTATGGTAGAAGAATCTGAAACATTAGCTGTTGAGAAAATCAAATGAGGTTCGAATCTGAAGACAGAACTTACCTCTGGATTTTCTTCCAAAAACAAAAGCTTTGCCAAGAAGTTGCCAAGTTGGCCTGTATAGATCTTCCAAGTCCAATTGCCATCTATCTGGTTCAAGATACCGAATAAGATCTTCCAAGGTACTAAAGGCGGTGACAGCGTTATTAAGCAGATCCAGAGGCAAAGCTGAAGGGGGTAACACTGAAGGGCTCGCGGCCTCTGTGAATTGCTGAAAGCAAAATGAATCTTACGTTAACTGTTTTAAAAATGACGATGTATTTCTTCTGGACTCATGCACGAGGTTAGGCAAACTAAGGCTGAAAATGCAAGGGAAAGGAAACTATATTCAACATAGACGAGAACTGCTCTGCAAAGACTTCATGTAGATGAATTCCAATAAATTTTCTGTGCAGTCAATGAGAAGGACATTAACTTTCATCATCACAAACCATGGCGGATGTGGATATCTGTTGCTTAAATACGAAGAAAATGTCTTTATGGCTCAATTAGGGGCTTAAAATGGAAACTATAATACAGTTTACCAGATTTTTCTTTTTTGCTTTTCACTTTTCATTTTCCTCAATCTGGAAAAATCACCAGGGAGTTATGCAAATGAGTGTCAGATCAATTATAAACATAATATAAAATAATTAAGCCATGAAGAATTAGAACAAACACAGGCGAAAAGCCTTTCACACTGGAGAAGGACTTGTTAGCCAAAGTAGCCCACAAACAAGCCATAAAAAAAGAACTTTGATAAATTTGCCCATACTTTTTTTTTTTTTTTTTAAATAAACAGGATTAAAAGACAGACACTGGGAGAACACCCTGATAAATGACGTGTCACAGGATTAGTGTCTAGAATATATAAAAAAAACTCCAACAACTTGATAGAGAATGGGTAAATTCCAGACAAGAAGTCTAAATGGCCAATAGATATATAAAAACATGCTAAAATTCATTAGTTATCAGAGAAGTGCAAAACAACATGAGGTATTATTTCACATACAAAAAAAGGAGAAACTGCAGGGATTGAAAAGAAAGGATGGCCAAGGATGTGGGTAAATTGGAATTTCTCTGTTCCGCTTGCAGAAGTGAATGTAAATTAGTACATCCACTTCCGCTGATTTAATGGATGTACACTGGATATTAGAGTTAAGACTTATATGATGCATGTCCCTGTAATTCACTTTTGTATAAAAAAAAAAGGGTTTATGTCCTCTTATTTGTGCACATGGAAATATATGCAAAAAAATCCATCACAGTGCTGTTTGAAATAGAGAAAACTTCAAAGTAATCTGAATGGCCATGGATAGAGCAATGGATTAAAATACATCATTTTTAATGGTAAACAAAAATGAGGCCACGATTTCAATAAAAGTTCAATAACAAACTTGCCCCTCCAACCACAAATTTTTAGAGCGGACTAAAGTTAGGCAGTGGTAGATCAGAACTGAAATCGAACCAGGCAAAATAAATACGTGAACAAACGCTTAACTTAATTATTATTCTTATTTTTAAGTTTATTTTGAGAGAGACAGAAAGAGAGAGTGGGGTGAAGGGCAGAGAGAGAGAAACAGAGAGAGAATCCCAAGTAGTCTCTGCACTGTCAGCACAGAGCTCGATGTGGGGTGCTCGAACTCATCAATCGCGAGATCATGACTGGAGCCGAAACCAAGAGTTGGACGTCTAACCAACTAAGCCACCCAGGAGCCCCAATTATTTTTACTTACTTATTTACTTATTATAATTTTTTAAAGTTTTATTTATTTAAGAAACCTCTAAACCCAACATAGGACTCGAACTCGCAATCCGAAGATCAAGAATTGCATGTTCTTCCAACTGATCCAGCCAGGCACCCTTGTTTTTATTTATTATTTTTTTTTTTTCAGAGGAGGAGAGATGAAGAGTATGGAAGAAAACATTTGTGTGGGTTGCTGTTCATTACAGTAGTATTTACAATAACAGAAAATTGATAATAAATCTAAATTTATAGTATTGGAAATGTTAATTGCACTGTACTCAAACTGAAATAGTGTGCCTTCATTAAACATTAAGTCCTCTAAGCATTTTTATTAACAAAAGAAATGCTTACTATGTAGTAAATGACAAAAAAAAAAAACCCAGCCTATATAAATATACCTTGATTTAATATACATTACTGTATATAATATACATGTCTATATTTTTAACATTTTTATAATAAATATGGATTCCTTTTAGAGATCCAGTAAAAATAACATTTGTTGTAATAATTAAAAAAAACTATCATGTAAGTTCTTCCTTTTCATCTTTATTACTTGGATCCTGGGCTAGATACTGGAAACAATCTATTCTATTCAGCAGACTCTAATGTTGTCTCCTTGCCTTCAGTCTTTCTTTATTCCCTTTATTCTGTGCTGCATAACCTCGGGTTAATCTACCTAAAATAAGTTATCACTGATCATGTGATGAATCTGGACAAATGCCTAGAGTGATTTCTCATCTGGAGGATAAAATCCAAATTCCTCACCCTGCATTCAGGATCCTCACAATCTGACCTTGGCTCACCTTTCCCATTTAATCCTCTACTCATCAAAGACAGGCACATTTTGTTCCAATCAATCCAGTCTCTTCACTAACTACTGCACATGTCATATTCATCGCAGACCTTGTACCTCCACCCATGCTAAATACTGCTCTCCGTCCCCCATATGCAAAGCTCTCTCCTGTGATCCGCATAATAAATCTTTACCATTTATAATGGCCTTTCTTGAAACATGATTCACCCATGAAAACTTCCTTAATAACAGGGCTATTGTTGGCCATATATCTCAATTGTGTCAATTTGAAAAAGATCCTCTCTCTGCGCTATTCTGTGGGCACACGGCTTGAAAAGCAGAAGCTGTTTTATAAATTAGAAAAAGGACAAAAGAAGAGAAAAGAAGAGGAAAAAGAAAGAAGGAAAGAAGGAAAGAAAGAAAGAAAGAAAGAAAGAAAGAAAAAAAGGAAGGGGAGGGGAGGGAAGGGGAGAAAAGAAAAGAAGAAAAGAAAAGAAAAGAAAAGAAAAGAAAAGAAAAGAAAAGAAAAGAAAAGAAAAGAAAAGAAAAGAAAAGAAAAAAGAAAAGAAAAGAGAAAAGGACCACTGTTCTCTGCGGCAGGCATATCCCCTGATGAGGCTCATAAGTTTCATGGGTGCAGATCCTTCTCTGCCCACAGGAAGAGAGGCATTTTTATAGAGCATAATCATCAGAAATGAATGTGGCAGTCTTGGGTCAACACTGATTTCATTCTTATTTTAAAGCTCTAATTTCAATAATGTCAAGAGTCTGGCTAAAGTATTAGCACGAAGATGTTTTCAATTATTCAATCCAACTTTTGAGAGTAGAAACCAAATGTAATACATTTCTGTTTACCTCTAGTATTTTTTAGTTGTCCAAGAAGTGCAAAACTGCTCTGATAGAGAATATTATAATTGATAACTATATTATGGATATAAATAAACAATTGTATGATAAAAGCTTTCATTGTTGATATAACCAATTTGGTTAATATTGATTAAGTTTGTAATGTGAAAAGGTTAATGCAAATGTTTTGCAAATTTTTAAAATACAAGCCAAATGTATGTTTATATAAAGTGAAATTAAGGGCCAGTAATACTCAAAGAATAACTGAGTTATTACTCATGATTATGACGATATGAAACAAATCAAATATGTCATGATCTGCACACAGAGAGTAAATGTAGAAAGCTAATACAAAAATATATTATTCAATAAGATGTCAGAGTGCAGATATATATTTTAGGTATGATATAAAATTGTTTTTTAAGCCATTTTCAATTAGATCATAATCCAAGAATGGCTTATTTTGCTTCCGTGTTTGAGGATCTCTGCATAGAACATTCCTTTTGAAGCAATGAAAAGTTCCAACTGAAATCAATACTGCTGAAATAAGCGCGAAGTATTTATATAAAAGAAAGCAAAACAAAAGAAACCTGTACTATTGGACAAACAAAATATGCACACCTTGGGTTCCATGAAATATCAGCATATCAAATCTCCTGAAATGACAAAAGCTGGAAGAAAACAAGTTGGCATACATTACTGCATGCATATATCGGATGGTGTTATAAACCTCCAAGTTTCTAAATATTTAAATTAAAATAAGAGAAATATTTATTTATTTATTTATTTATTTATTTATTTATTTATTTAATTTTTTGAGAGAGAGACGGAGTGAGTGGGGAAGGGGCAGAGAGAGAGAGGGAGATACAGAATCTGAAGCAGGCTCCAGGCTCTGAGCTGTCAGCACAGAGCACGACACGGGGCTCAAACCCACGAGCCGTGATATCATGACCTGAGCTGAAGTTGGATGCTCATCCGACTGAGCCACCTAGGTGCCCCTAAGATAAATTTTTAAAAAAGATAAGGATACACACATAGCAGTTTCCACCCCAACACAGGAGGGAATAATCAACTTGCTTCCCCTGGGTTCAAAGAATCAGTCTTTGGACAGAACAGAGGAAGCACTGCTTTTATTTAAGGGCTTTCTCATGACTCTTAACCACACCCACTGGTTCCAGAACAACCCAGTCTTTCACTTCTGTAGTTCTGCTTTTCTAAGTGGTCTAAAGGGATTCTCAGAGAAAAGGGAGAGCAATGGAAAACAGAAGTTAGAGGGGAAAAAAATGCCCCCTGATCCTTTACATTTTAATTTTTCCTCTAATTAAAAACTATTCTTTTCAGTCTAAGCCATAGCCTTTCCTCCAACATTTAGCGTCTAAAGAATTCTAACAATATCTTTTATTTAAAAATACTAATGTTGGGCTAAGTGCCTTAGATTGAATTGGATTTGCACATCCTCCATTCACTGTCTTCTGTTCACCATGAAAATAGATACTTACTACTAAGTTATGGGTCATCCTAAGAATATTTAGTGGACGATAATGGTCAGTAATGGAAAGCACAGTTTCTTGGTGTGCTATAACGTTAGCTAAATCCATACCCTTCCTTTAGTAAGCCAGGAAAAAAAAGGTGGGGGGGGGGTAGTTTCTGCCACTCCGTGCAAGGTAGCAGTGACAACCAGGTGACTCTCTAGTCCCAGCCTAGATGTTCAGGTAAATTACTTGGAGGGATAGAAGGTGAAAGAGTAGAAAGAGATCTGAAATCTCTATGCAGTGAAGTGTCCTGTTGAACAGTGCGTTTCTAAAATGTCAGTGCCATGTACTAAGAAGTAAGAAGGATCCTA